CGTCACCTTGATCAAGTTCGCTTGAATTTTTTGATGATGAATTTTAAGCTCTTATGTGTATTTAATGGCATTGGCAACAACACGCATATTTGGGTCATCTAAATAGAGAACACAAGGTTCTCTATCATTTGGTGTGGGACTAGGATTAAATAGAGCTGACGGCACTTGTGGATTAAAGCTCCCTTTTGTGCTTCTATAGGCTGGGCAATTATGAGTATATTGTAGGGGATTGATAAACGCGCAACAGAAATAAATTAAAAAAAATCAATCCCTTGCTCGGATCTACCGATCGTGTTTAAGTCAAGTAGTAAGAAGCATTACCTTCGGTGTTCGATTTCTTGGTGGCTCGGTGATTCCGCCGTTTAGGATGCCTCTGCTCGCCTCCTTTGTCGTTCGAAGTCGACAACTCCGGTCGGCTTCCTCTACCGGTATCCACACGAATAGCCCTCAATCTCGAACGACGTGCTAGCGTCTTTGTCCGTCTAGGGTTTTCAAAGAATCCGTCCTCCCTTCTCTCCTTTTTGGCCGTCTCTTATCTGCTTAGTGCTTTCACTCTCACACTTAAAACCCTAGCTCCTCATATCAAATATATAGGATGCTATAAGTTTAATGAATGATATTTAATTTCGAAATTAATCCTAAATTAATTCCGAAATTAATACAATATTGCCTAATCAGATAAGAGAACAATTAAATAAATATGGTTTATATTAAATCCGTCTCACATATTTAATTCACCTATTTATTTAATTCAAAATAAAGATATGACGAAATTAATTTATATAGATTTAATTTATCCTTATAAATTAAATCTAACAATTAATATCTCTTATATTTATATAATATATATATACAAATTTATATATATATATATATATATATACACACACACGTCCACCCTATATTATTCATTGAATCTGGACATATCTTAGATTCAATGAATCTGGACATCATAACTCGTGTTGGGCTATTTTGTGTGCGACCCTGTAGGCCCATATGAAGTTGGCAGTGGGCCATTGACTATAATGACTCACAAGTCGTAAGCGGTCTCTAGCAAGACATCACAACTACCCAAATCATATGAGGATCGTTGAACGATGTAACCTTTCATACAACCATATCGCGTCCCTTTTGTCACACAACATTTTGGTCACGGATGAGGCATGGAGAACGTCATCCTCCTATTCATGACCGTTACTTTCTTGATCCCTGAGTAGTCTGAGTATAGAAACGGAACTACCTTTCCATTATAGTATGGCTATACATTTCTCAGACGCACTCATCGAGGGGCCTAGTAATATCTCTCTACGAATGTGATGGACAAATTCCATCTTGACCATTCACATTCCTCCGCATGAAAAACCACTAAGCCTGAACATAGTCTTTATGATCACTCGATCAAAAGTGACTTTTGACCAGGTCAAAGCTAAGCATTTCTAATGTAGGAATCCATGATAATCTCAGGTCAAAGGTCACAGTGACATGGTTTATATATGAGAGAAGCTTATGACTTAACCTATGCAGCTCTCTCATAGCGGGTCGGTCCAACACCTTGTACTCTTACATGTGCCTATGACTTTAATTTATATCTCTATATATCTTTAAAATCATACTGGTCTTATTTCATCTCTGCTCCCACATAGATGACCGACCAGGGACATTTAGGATAAACCATGAGTTATCCAAGGATAGTCATCACAGTAAACATACAAATAATATGATAACATAATTAATAAATTCATAAATTAACAATGTTCATAGCAATATGATTGGCCCCTAGGGCACAATTTCCAACATATATGGCACAAATGAAAGAATGAAATTAAATCGAAACAATGTTGGTAAAATTCGAAACAATTTAATCTAGCAAATTAAGCGATTTAGAAAATTTAGAAATAAGGAACATAAATTAAAACTTTTTACAAGAAATAAAAGATTATCTAATATTAATTAAGTTGATATCTTATAACTTGATCTCAACCATTTTACAACTGTACTTCATTATTCAACTTAAATAAAAGTATAAGAAGTTAATATTTTAAATATATTTTTATTGGTCATTGCAATTTATCACCCAAAATTTTTTTACAATAAATAAAAACATGTTTATTTCTATTTAAACCCACCAATTTATTTAAATCTAACCACTATTAATTGTTTCTAGCTCAAATTCATATAGTTCATACACATAGGCATTTCATCAAACACCTAAAGTACAACAATAAAATCTTTAAAACCACTCCTTCTTCATAATTCATGGCTATAATAATTTTTAAAAAAACCAAATAACATAAAATTGCAAAACTCAATTCCATTCCATTGCTTATACATAGAGGCATTTCATCAAACATCTAAATTGCAATACAATCAGAAAACTCCTAATTCTAACGGGTTCAAGTACTGTAGCAATACAAAACACGGTGAGTTGCAGACTACCCACGATGAGCTGATTTATAGTGGCAAGCTAGAACTACCCATGGCAAGCTAATCTAGGAGGAGACAAGGGAAGAAAATATGAGCAAGGAAGGAGGAAAGAGAGGAAGAAAATGTGAAATGGGGGAGGGGAGAGTGTCGACCTCAAGCTAGAAATGGGGTAGGGGGGACTGTAAATCGACTGCGAGCTAGAAGGTGGAAGCTGAAAGTGGGACCGAGAGCTGAATGTGGAAGCTGGAAATGGGGCCGCGAGCTAAAGGTAGAAGCTAGGAATTGGGGGGGAGGATAGAGCACGAAACGAAGGGAAGGGGGACAGCTGAAGGTGGAAGTTGGAATTGGGGGGAGGAGTGGGACAGAGTGCAAAATGGGGGGGCGAGCTGAGGGTGGAAACTGGAGGGCATGACATAGTGCAAAATGTGGGGCAAGGGGGATCAGGGTAGTGTGAAATGTGAAAGGGGGGTAGGGCTGTAAATTATTTTCAACAGGGCCCCATACTCATCTGGTACACTAGACCAGACAAGTATACACCCATATACTTGTCTGGTCCACTAGACCAAAAGAGTATCTCGGCTCATACTCATCTATTATGGCCCAACAGAAGAGTAGGGGGCCCTATACTCTTCTGTTTGGTGTAATTAGACGAATATATCACCCTTTTTTTCTCTGTTTTTAATTTTAGACGAAAATAGGGGACGACAATGGACTTTTTGTAGTAGTGAATCATGAGTTGAAAAAATCCAATTTCAAACTTTACTTTCTAGTCAACACTTGTTATTTTATATTCTATCATATAGTTTGACTTTTTAATCTATAGCGAGGCAAAGTGGGGCCAAAATCAAAAACTTTGTGGTCAACCATGGCTTAGAACACTATTTTCATTCATATTTGGTAAAAGATCATGTCTAATAAAATCGTTAATTTTCTTCTACAACAAAAAAAACTAAGTTAATAGAGACAGCTCAAATTCTACTCTATAATACTTAAATTTGGTCCAATAATATTATATATTAACAGTATAAAAAATATATTTTATTATATGTTTTAAGTACTACTCATGTGGAAGATTTGAACTTTGTCAATGTGAAAAAAAAAATCATCTTTTTTTAGCCGAAATGAAAAAGAAAATCATATTTGATGACTTATTTCTAATTAATCTGATGAAAGTAATTGGTTAATGCAACTCATATTTCATAGTAACTAGAGTTGAAATCTTACAATCAATGTGAAGACATTATTAATATACAATTTCGAAAGATTTTTATAATTTTTATTTGAATCCTATGAATTGCTAATATTCTGAAAAATTTGAATCCAACTCGCACAAATTTTCTTTTTACAGAAAAAAAATCACCAAAATAACATTCAACTAAAAGTTTTTGGAATGATCCCATTTCTAAAGCGGAAGAAGACTATTTTTTTTCCCCCGCCAAAGAGAAGAAGACTGATTAATTTGATAATATTGAGCAAAACCAAAGCTGCATGAAGTAAGAAAAATAGGTAAAGCAAAAATGTACTTATAAATTCTCTAATTTTTCACAAAATTTGACCTTTATCCCTTAATTTTAGAAAGCGTTTATCAACTTCATTAAAAGATGATATACTACAATTTTAAATGCTAATAAATTAAAACATTCTAAAAGAATTATCTTTTAATTAATCAAATCGTTTTTTATTTTTAAAATTAAATTTAGTATGTCAATATTTAAAAATGTTTTTTTAACATTTAAATTTATAATTTCGACACTTTTTATTAATGAAACTGAAAAGACACATTTCGATTATCTGTATGGGCTTTTTTCCCCTCCTCTTTTTGGTCTTACTTGTATATACTTCTTTTGGTTCTATTTATAAGCTTTAAATTTAAGAAGGAATGTGGTCCATTTTATAAGTTTTAATTTGGGTTGTTCTTAATATTTAATGTATTTTTTTAATGTTGTCTTTAATTATTTATCTCTTATCACATTTCTCCACACATTCACTTTCATCCTTTTTTTTATTTATTATAAAAGCATATTTGTAAACAAAAACATATTTATAATCTATTTATTATTTTTAACTAATTTTAATTATTTATTTATTATTCATGAATTAGGTATTTGAAGCTTATAATAATAACATGGGGAAGTAATTTACATCAACTTGCCCTCCTTTTGGTCTGACTTGTATATAATTTTTTTTTTTTGGTGACAAATTTTTAGGAAAGGGGTTGGGCTTACCCACGATCCAAGGGCAGGGCAACTAACCCTTGACTCCAGTCCAACCCAGCGCCGTAGCTTAAACTGAGACTTTGTTTTACGGGCTGAAGCCTTGGCTCCGAAGATGCCTCCCCCAGCGCCGTGACTGGAGCCACACCTAAGTGACCTTCCCCAGGATCGAACCCCCTCAGTGAGAGTATCCGACCCCTGACTTGTATATAATTTATATCAACTTGCCAGTCGCCTCTGACTTCTTCACCTTCCATATTTGAATATTTGACCATTTCGAGCGAATCAAAGTAAACGATGAGGCCACCTCAAAAACCCACTATTCTGAAATCATTTTCCATTGTCGGAAGCTTCCTTTATATTGATCTTCTGGATGCCGCTGCCGGTAGCCGGAACACCAAGCCAAGTCGCGTTCCTCTTTCACCGGAGCTCGCCGCCAGCTGTCACAGTTAGAAGCAAGCAGCTTCCATTTCAATCGCTTCGTCTGATTCTACAACACAGGTTAGCCTTTGTTCTTTTTCTTAATTATTACTCCCTGATGAATTTATTAATCCAAATTTTGATATTATATATATATATACTGTTATTGATTATGTTCGTTGATATCGTGAACACATTGGAAAATACAAATCTGGGTTTCAGATCGGATTGCTTGCCTGAGTCTGCAGTTTTTATAGAGCAACAAACACTACCGGAAAACATAATTTTGTGATAACAGAAAATATCTAAATTTTATAATCAAAAGGAAATTATTTTTTAATCTTTATTTTTCCAATATTTTTTTGATGATCCGATTTACACCTTTCTGAACTTTTTTCATTTGTCACAAAATATTTTCATGAGAATGCTTACAAAATTTTTTGACAATTGTTTGCGTCTTCTTTTCTCCATATTTTGATAGTTTTGTTCATGGTATTGCCCATGAATTTTTTGGAAAAAATTTTATGCGGAAAAAATCTATGACAATTTTTTGTGAAATTTTTAGAGGAAAAAAATTTTGAGTACACTGATTTTCGGAGAAAATTTTTTATTTTTGTAGTGAAAACTTATACGGTTTCTTTTAAGTTTCCTCTAGGATTCCAAAATCAAAGCCGGCTTTGTAATTTCCAATTTCTTTTCAATTAAAAAAAAAACTCCGAAAAAATGCAGAATCTCAGTATCATGGGTGTATAAATGAGATAATATTTTATTTAGCTTTTTGAAAGTAATCTTATACTACCTCCGGTCCTAATTATAAGACCCAGTTGACTAATTTGAAGAGATTAAGGAAGTAAGTTAAGTTAGTTATTTGTAACAAACAAGTATTGTCATTCCTAAAATATCCTTGCTAATTAAGTGTGTTGGTTAAAACTATCATTATTAGAAGGACTATCTTAGGAAAAAATGTATAAATATGAGAGACAAAATGGATTGGGGTCTTATAATTAGGACCAAACTAAAAGTCAAACGGGGTCTTATATTAAGGACCGGAGGTAGTACTATACAAGACAAGTATGTGAGAATATTTTGGCTTTACTTGTGTGAAAGAACTTTTTCAAAGTTTTTTTTTTTTGAGTTTTCGAAACTCCCCAGTAATTTTTTTTTTCTAGACACATATATCCTCTTATCAGAAATAATTTTGTTCAAGACACTGTCAAGTACTAAATATGAACATCTCTCGCAGTGATGATTTGAATCTTAGTTTGCTATGTTGTGAAGGACTGATCTTTTCAATTGGATTCAACCCCGTTGCTTATAGTTTTTTTTTTTTCCCGGTTACATAAGAGAAATAGCTAGGATGCCCAAACTAAAACAAAAGATTAATCTAAAAGGAGATTGAAGCTCAAACTATCTTTCAGAAGAAGTGCTTTAATTCTCTAGAAATATGTTGAGTCTTGATTTCCCAAGAAAAGGCCATTAATCCCCATATTTCCAAAAGAACAAGACTGCAGGTTTCCTGTGTCTATTTTTCAGCAACATATATACTAAGGTCTTAGAATCAAATTCTTCTTCTTGATAACAAACAGAAAAGTTTATGTGAGTTATATCTTGGGAGCTCACCAAGACCAAGAAATACCCCCAAACTGGGAGTGCTTATAAACGTACTAGTATGATCCTCCTAAACCTAAAGTCCCAAGTTAACTCGAGGCCTCTGAACACCGCCCATTGTTGGTGACAGTTTATTTTGAATTGAATAGCATATATGAGATAAGCTGTAACCAAAGTCTGGCCCAAAGAAAAAAGTAACCAAGGTCTGGCCCATAAAATTAGTCAAGTTCGATCCATTGAGCCCAGTTCAAAATATTTTAGGCCTAAGAGCCCAATTCACAGTTAAATTGTCATATGCATCTCTTCGTCTGGGCCTCCTTTTTGGTGGTTAAACAAAGTTTCGGTATATATTTTCCATGTCTGAATATGGCTGTCCTTTTTTCTACTTCAACAATACTGGTTGGGTAATTCTCTTACGAAAAGTCAAAGCAAAAAGTAAGTCTATTATCTGCCTCTCATGGATTTGTTTTCAAGGTCAACTTTTACAGCATTTTTAGTGGTTGAGGAGATTTCATGGGGGATCACAGTTTCAACTACAAATGTTTTCGATCTTCTCTCTATTAGATCTCCAATTCTCCCTTCTTTGCTTCCAATGCTCAATCGCTTCAAGTATTGACTACAGTCAAAAAATTTGCAAACGTTGCTAAGTCTAGCCAAAAAATCAATGCAAGTTATCTTGAAGGACGTCCTCTCTTTTTGCCAGTTGTTTTCTGTTCTGGATGTAGTACTAATTCCTGCCTCTTATTCAATATTTTCTAGATTTCCTTCTACTTTTCCATTGTCTGTAATGTACATATAATATTACTCGTTTTATTAATATTATTATTTGATCTTTTTCATATATATATATATATATATATATATATATAACTTACAAATTTTATTACTGATGCAGGCATATCTATGGAGATATCGTTGTTAAATGTACTTGTTAATGTGATATCCTCGTTTTCGCACTTAAGATTTTCCAGAAACGTGAGCTCAGAACCTATGTTGAAGTATTACCAAAAGGAAGAGGAGATACTCAAGCTGTTAAAGCCAACACTTGAAGCCATCACTAATACTGATTTAGCCTCTGATGAAGTGCTTCTGAAGATATTTGAAGAACTGAACCAGGCTGTTCAGGAACTTAGGGAGCTTTTCGAGAGTTGGCAACTATTGTGTAGCAAATTTTACATTGTAAGTCTCATACATAAATCTATAACATCTCAATTGTTTATTGTGAACATAACATAAGGTTGGTTCCTTCACGGGGTTGTTGTCTTCATATCGGTTTTTGCAATGTTTTCTCTTTACTGAAACTAGCTAGTTTAGTTAAGCTCATATGGAATTACGAAGGCTGCAATTTAATTAGTTTGGGCCCATTTGGTTCTCTACAAAGCCAACTAATAATATATAATCCTCTGATCTTTAATGTAAGACTAATTAACTAATTTGATTAGATTAACGATGTTAGCTAAATTAGTCAATATGATTTTTTTTTCTTTCTAAAACACCCTAATCATCTACTTAATTTTCTTCCTCTTTCTTATTTGATTATTGTTGAGGGAATATCAATAGGGTTATTTGAAAACATTTAATAAATATATGAAATATGTCTTGTATATAGAACTAACATCAACTCTGAAATTAGATTCTACGTTAAGTACTAGAGGAGTATAATGTAAGCTTTTATATTATACTCTACCTCCAGCTCTAAATGTAGAACTATATAAGTAATTTTGTAAAGACTAAGAAAATTAATTAAGTTGATTATTTGTAAGAAAATGTGTGTTGGTTTTTCTAAAATATTCTATTTAATCATTTATTTTAATTTGTGTAATCAATTAAAATAGTTTGAAAGTATTGTGATTTGGTTGGCAAAAGTCTAATATATCCTAGCTCTTGTCTTTTAGTGGTGGCATTGCCAAATCGCCATTCACGAATAAGGGGCTTTTTGGTCTGTTTCTCTTATTTTTTAATTTAAAAATAAAAAATAGGCTAGTTTAATGCTTTGCAAAATACAAACTAAAGTAATAGTCATCATACTACACGACATTCCTTCACCTAGGTCTCTTTGCAAGCAACCAAATGGGCCCTTCGTGTCCTTTCAGATTTATCTTTCTATATAATTGCAAGTCTTGCTATGATTTAAATATCTTCATATAGAAGGTGGTGTGGTAATTTTTTTTGTATGGTACTTCTCGGATCCTAAATGTAAGATTCAATTTATAGTTTAAATTATATTTTATAAAATAGAGTTTATATTTAAATCAGAGGAGAAATTTTTACATGATCTATTAGGTTAGAAGTAGAAAATTTTTATAAGAACATCTGTTTCTATTAGATTATTGCCTTGTACAAAGTAGAACATGTAAAGAATCTTCACGTAGTCTATTAATGAATTTAGTGCTCCGCCCCCCCCCCCCCAAAAAAAAAAAACCACAAATCTCATGTTCGTTGTGGATTCTGACCACCTTTTTCTTGATCTCCAGGTTCTACAAGTTGAATCCTTGATATCTAAGATTCAGATTATGGCACTCAACATTTTCAACCAACTGAAAGCTTCCCATCAATGTCTCCCTAATGGATTAAGTTTTTCACACATAGAGGTATCAAACGCAATTAATCACTTAGCTCAAAGATTCTTGTTCTTGTTTTGATTCACATGTAAGATAAGAAATTAACGTAGGGTTTACATAATCAACATTATATATTTGCAGCACTGTATTGAGAAAGTAAAGAATTTGGGACATGAAGAAACATCATTTATCATCAAGGAAGCTATCATGGAACAAGTGGAAGGCTTAGGTCCTAGCTCAGAGGTCCTTGAAAAACTTGCTGAGAATTCGGGCCTGAGCTCTAATCAAGAGATTCTGATTGAGGCTTTGACACTTGAAAAGTTGAAGGAAAATGCAGAGCAGATTGAAAATACTACAGAAGCTGAATATCTACGCCAGATAATTACTCTTGTAACTTACATGCATGAGAGACTTATAATGCTCAAGGAAGCCCAGATCTCTAGCCAAGTTCCAGTACCTGCAGATTTTTGCTGTCCTCTCTCTTTGGAATTGATGAAAGATCCTGTGATTGTGTCATCAGGGCAAACTTATGAGCGAGTTTTCATTAAGAAGTGGATTGATCTAGGGCTTAACGTTTGTCCGAATACACGTCAGACTTTGGCTCATACCAACCTAATACCAAATTATACTGTGAAGGCATTGATTTTAAACTGGTGTGAATTGAACAATGTCAAGCTAGTTGATCCTTTAGTGTCCTCAAACTTGAATCATTGCAGCTCAACTTCAGAAGGTTCTTCTAATGACATGACTTGTAGGCAAAGTTTGGATATTTTAAGAATATCACAGACAAGTTCTGATAACATGTCTGTTAGCTCAGATGAAATCAGGGCAGATTTAGATGGCCAAGATTCGTCGTCACAATCTAGAAGGGAATCTTCCAATGCCTTAAGCTTAGAACAATATCAAACTCATGTTAGAACTGATCTTGATTCCACTGCATCTTTGAATGAGAATTTTCCTCAAGAAACAAAAGGTGATGACAAAGTCTTAAAAGCTCAGATGACTCCATCATCAGAGGCAAGGTCTGGAATCTTAAGTATATGGCAGCAACAACCAAAGAATTTAAGGTTAGGATCTTCACTTGTTGAAACTAGACCTAGTCCTTCTAGAATTGAAACCCAAGTTCAGAATTGGGCTAAAGAGTTGAAGAGCTCTTCAATTGATGCTCAAAGAGAAGCGACAGCAGAACTACGCCTTCTTGCTAAGCACAATATGGAAAATAGAATTATGATTGCAACTTGTGGAGTCATTACTTTATTAGTCAACCTACTCCAATCAACTGATACAAAGATCCAAGAAAATGCAGTTACGGCGCTTCTAAACTTATCGATCAACGACAATAACAAATTTGCAATTGCAGATGCTGGTGCAATTGATTCTCTAATTCATGTTCTTGAAACAGGAAGTCCTGAAGCCAAGGAGAATTCTGCAGCTGCACTTTATAGCCTATCAATGATGGAAGAAAATAGGATTAGTATAGGGAGATCACGGGCAATCAAGCCATTGGTAGGTTTACTAGCAAATGGAACCCCAGGAGGGAAAAAGGATGCTTCCACTGCATTGTTCAATCTGTCAATATTTCATGAAAACAAAGGACGGATTGTGCAGGCCGGCGCCATAAAGCACCTTGTGGGTTTAATGGATCCAGCAGCCGGAATGGTAGACAAGGTGGTGGCCCTTTTGGCAAATCTTGCATCAATTCCTGAAGGAAGAACTGAAATTGGTCATCAAGGTGCTATTCCTATTCTAGTTGATGTAATTGAGTTGGGTTCCGCAAGAGGGAAGGAAAATGCAGCTGCCACTCTTCTACATATTTGTTCAAATAGCACCAGGTTCTTGAGCTTAATGATCCATGAAGGAGCCATCCCACCATTAGTAGCATTATCACTATCAGGCACCCCAAGAGCCAAAGAAAAAGTATGTCACTATCTTTGTGGTTTCATATATTAGCTGCCTTATATAAATGATTAATTATTGATGAATCTTTTTTCTTTTTTATTCTGTATTTAGGCACAGGCTCTACTTAACCATTGTAGAAGTCAAAGACATGGTAGTGCTAGATGAGGTTGATTTCATTTCTACAACTTCAAAATCATTCTGAAGTTTTTTGGGTCAACTCTAATTGAATATCTCAAATGTGTATATATATTACATGGTTCAGATAAGATATGTACTACTTCTTAATTTCTTGTAGTGGAAGAAACATCTTCATGGAGGGTTGATTCTGTCCTCGAAAGGAAAGCCTTTCATGTGAAGAAAGATTATATACATACATGCAAGTTCATCTTGTTTCTGGAAAAAAATTAGTATCTGTGTGTTGTGTGTATCAGTTTTATAGAACTTGGAAATAGTTGTATTGCTCGTGTTAAAATAATACCATTGCAAGCATGAATAATATAAGTAAAACCTTCTCAACAAAAATTTGGGAAGATGCTTCTTAATTTTGACAATATCATTTCACATATATTATATAGTCTCTAGATCATGGGGTTTATATCTAGTCCTAAATATATAAGCTAGTTAGGAAGCTAATTTTAAATGTAAAATATTAATATACTGTATCTTATATTTATCATTTTCCTCAACTAAATTCATCTAACTTATGAAATGATATATAATCTAAGGTATTTTAGGGCGATCATGTCAATTTATTTACCTTCCTTAATTTATCCAAATTAATTAAACTGCTATTACATTAATGATAGGAGATGTACTTGACGATTACTCTGCATCACACAAGAATAGAAGTATATAGAAGCATAAATACTTTCATAATATAGATAAAGTGAACATACATATTTTAGTAAGTCTTGCCATTCTTTTTTTTTTTTTTAAGAGATATCCTTGCTTATTAATTACGAAGAAATATTACAAATAACATCAACGCAAGACAGCAAATACTAATTCCACCATTAATTTTCCCCATTGAAATCAAAGAGGCTTGTAATTCACCCTCCTGCAGTTCTCTCTGATCTCTCCATTTGGATAAAGCAAGGGTCTGATGTCTCCCATCCTGATCATGCCATTGACAAAGTCATGATAAAAGGCCCTCTTGTTCAGAGCATAAGTTCGGACCAGCGAATCGGTGGAGCCACCACTGAAGAGAGCTTGATCGGAGTGAAGAAGTCCCTTCTTCTTGAGGAGATTCTTGAAGTAGCCATTGTCAAAATAGTTTGGAGTTGTAACGTCCAAGTTTGCTACAAAATTAGTTGGAGTATTAGTCAGTGGACAGAGGTTCTGCTTGGCCTTGGCAAAAGAAGGGTCAATATTGGTATCGTTATATACCCGCGCTGTGAAAGTAGGGCATCTTGCTTGCCCTATTGTGTGGCCTCCTGAAAGAAAAAACACAAGAAAAAAACATGTTGACAAATTAAAGCACTTAATAAATGTAATACTTTATTTATTAGTCCTTATAAGAAAAATTTAATGAAACATTTGTTTTCCATTTTTAAAATTACCTTTACTTTCTTTCACTTCTAGTTTAGATAATGAGTTTAATTAATTTGATTAAAGGTAACTTCATTCAAAGTTCTAAATTTTTTATATTTAAGCTATTTTAATAATTTTCTTAATCTTAATAAAGTAGTTAACATATATATAATGCTATCTCTGGTCCTAATTATAAGACCTTATTTATAGTTTATAAACGAAATCTTATAATTAGAATCACAGATATTAACAAAAAAGGTATTATCATTAGGACTAGAGGTAGTAAAAAGGATGGGGGAGTACATGGTGGTCATGTTAGGAGAGAGAAATATTAAAATCACTGATCATAAGTTTATACTGTAAAAGTCAATAATAATGAATTCTTGGTTAATGTAATCTTTGGTCCTTTAAGTTTGCTCTCATTTTGGTTCTGGTCCCTCAAATTTTAAACCGTAAGTTTTGATCCCTGAAGGGACAAAAGAGTCCAAGTATTATTAGATTATAGGGATTAATATTATAAATAAAAGAAACTTGAGGGATCAAAACCTAGGGTTTGAAATTTGGGATCAAAACTAAAATAGATAAACTTGAGGGACCAAAGTTTGTATTGCCCCCTAAATTCTTCTTTGAAAAATTACTATGAGATTCCAAGAAAAAATGTAATTACAAAAAAAAAAACATAATGATAAGTGAGCATCATGGACTTTGCTATTATTAATTTCTACATTGAAACTTGACTTTGACTTATTATAAGACTTTTTGATAATTACATTGTTTTTTTTAGGACTACAATGATTTTCCCCTCTTTTTTCACAAGTGCCCTTATTAATGTATTGGAGAGATTATCATATATATAAAAAAAACTAAAAGTAATTAAGATAAATACTATCTCCTGTCCTAATTATGAGACCTCATTTATAGTTTGTATATTATAAATAAGATCTTATAATTAGAATTGCAGGTTTATAAACTACAAACAAAGTCTTATAACTAAGATCGGAGGTAGTATATGGGTTTTAATTGGAGGGCACATAATCTTGAAAAGTAATGATACTATTTTTTTTTTACTATTTTAATGATACAAACTAATTTTTTAATTTAATAAAATAATTAAAAGTGTCTTATAATAAGGGGTGGAGTGAGTATGATTAAGGAAAAATGATTTTAAAAAAAACACCTGCTGAATTTCAAAATAACAAATAGGTGATTGTAATAGATTTTGATACGGCAAAATCATTAAAAAATAGTCAAAACTATTATAGAGTAATTATGACCTATTTGTCTTTTTAAATTTTAATAAGTATTTTTTAATCATTTTTCCTATGATTAATTGATATATCAATTCAATCTAAAATACAAAATCTTCAATATCCATATAAATAAAGAATTTATGTTTCAAAGGATACTGTAGCAAAGGGACACATTGAGCGATCATTTAATTTACTGCGGTATTTGCTTTTGATGATTGTTTTTCACTGTTTGATCCATTAGGTGATTCTAAATGGATTCTAAATCCATTAATAAATTAACAAAGAGAAATTTTTCAGAATATATTGAATGATGAAGAAAAAAATTTATATTTTTAATATTAAAACTATCATGTATAGATATACGTACTTTTCAACCCTCCTAATTGTGGAAGTGACATGACTACGTGTAGTGGTTCAAATGTCA